GGCATGCGGAGCACAGCCATGGTGATGGCCGAGTAGGAGGCCAAGGCCACCAGGAGTGTCCCACAGAAGATGACGATGGCGGAGATGAAGTCCACCAGCTCCGTGAGGGCCACGTGGGTGCAGGACAGGTTGAGCAGAGGGGAGACGTCACAGAAGAAGTGGTTGAGGACGTTGGGGCCACAGTAAGTCAGGCTGGCGATGCATTTTGTCTTTGCTGCTGAGACCAGCAGGCCACCCAGCCAGGAGGAGAGGGCCAGGCCCAGGCAGACCTGGGGCCGCATGAGAAGCGGGTAGTGCAGTGGGCGGCAGATGGCCACGTAGCGGTCATAGGCCATGGCGGCCAGGAGGGTGCACTCTGTTCCGATGAGGGTTATGAAAAAGAAGAGTTGGGTCATGCAGGTCATGAAGGAAATACGGTAGGGCCCAGTCCACAGCCCCACGAGCAGTGTGGGCATGGTCACAGAAACGTAGCACATCTCCAGGCCGCTGAGGTTGCCCAGGAAGAAGTACATGGGCTTGTGGAGCTCAGTGTGCCTGCAGATGAGGTAGATGATGAGCGTGTTCTCCAGGAGGGTGAGCAGGTAGAGGGCCAGGAAGACGGCAAAGAGGGCGTCCCTGGTGCTCAGCCTGGTGGACAGGCCCAGGAGGACGAAGTGCTGGACCCTGGTCATGTTGCCTGGCTCCAGGGGCTTCTCCACCTGTGGACAGACACCAAAAACAGGTGATTCTCTGGTTTGTGTGCAAGCCTGGTGCTGCAAATTTGGGAGGACTTTCATGTTGACTCTCTTAGCCCAAATTCTGTTTGACATTGACTGTTAAGTGAGGTGGAGATGCTGTAGATTTTAAAGACAACCTCTGAATGGGATTCCTTCCTTAATCTGGAACCTCGAGCGGTGAATCTTACCGAATTAAACATGACAAAGTAGCATTTACTTCTTGTTTAGTGTTGCAATAAATTGAGTGAAGCAATGAGTGCCGAGTGGCTATTCCACATAAGCGAAGGGAATTACTTTCATCTGGGTTTTGCAGTAAGTGTATTCCCTCTGTATTTTTTTCTTTTTAAATTCTATGAAGGCTGTTAGTATCTACAAATTCAGAGTAAGACAAACTACTGGTCTCTCTTCTTCCAAAAATATTCCTTCTTTCTTAATGTGATTTTGTTATCTAAAATTATATTATGTTGTGGGTAATGAATGGTTATATTCAAGAAAGAGAAGCAGAAAAATTTCCTTCTGAATCAAAGGAGGATTCCCACAAAAATTCACATGATTTTCTTCTAGTAGATGGTTAGGAAACCATGGCTGGTGCCCAGTCTTCATGATTGTATTTGTATGCAATTGAACATTATTCCTAATTGTTACACTTTAGGAAACTGCAGCTCACATAGAAAATTACTGTTGTAAGGCAAGGTATGGAATCTAATGACAAAAGTTTCCATAGTTCACGAGCCTGGTCAGTATCAGGAACCTGTCGTAAAACCTACTTATTTTCTTTTGCTTTATTCCAGTGCGCACACATGATGATCAGACAGGCAAATCCACACAGCCAGGAGGGCAAAGATCAGGAACTCGCTTCAGTTCTGGGCTAGCTCCATTGCACTATGTCCTCACTCCCAAAGCCAAGGAACTAGGAATTTTTCTTCTCTGACCCCTGGGGAGAGGAGAGCTGGAAAACAACACAGCCAGGGTGCCCATGACACAAGGCATCACCCCCAGCGTTCATTGGCGAGACGGAGGGTTGAAGGCTACCACGCCAAGGTGATGGAGGGTGTGCTGCATGAGCTGAGAGAGGCAACCTCCATGGAGCAGGTGGACGCACACTGCAGGCAGGAGAACAAAAGTTGGAACGGTCTGCCAAGGGGACGCTGTCCTTCGATGTCCCACAGAGCCTGCTCTGTCGCCTCCCAGTGCTTGCAAGGTATCCCCTCCTCCAGGCAACGCCCCCAGTTCCTCCACTGCACTGGTGAATCAGGCATTCCAGTTTCTCAACAGCTGATCACCGCTTCACACATCCAGAGAAAGTGCAGACAGCTCCATCTCTCTGGACCAGCCCAAGGGTGATAAAGCAACAGTTTCACCCTCGAGCTAAGCCCAAGAGCTCCGATGACTGGAGAACCCTTTGTTCAACTTTCCTACCACTAAAAGGAGAGAGTGAGTCTCTCTCCCTGCTGTCGATAGCCTTCTTTTGTAAGTAAGGTGATTGAGGGTCAGAAAGTAAAAGTGACTTGCTCAGAGTCATGGCATACAGGGAAATGAGGGCAAAACTTAGACTAATTTTAACACTCCATGTTTCGGTGTTACATGAGCAGACATTTTAAGTATGAATGGAGTGACAATCACTGTAGAAGTAATAGTAAGTAATGCAAAGTATTAAGCTCTTTGCTGTGCTACCACTTTCCATGTTTGGTTGTTTAAATTCCTACAAAGCCTTGTGAAGATACTGTTGTCACTCCTGCCTGCAGGGGAGAATTAAGTTCAGAGAAATAACCCACTTTTCCGGGACACAGAGCCATGACAACTAGAACGAGAGGCAAACCGTATTCTCATCTGGGCAAAGTCTCACATCCCTTCTGCATATCTTGCTGCCTTTTTTCTCTCTAGCTCTAGCAGAGTTTGTACTTTGTGTGTTTAAATAGTGACTTGGGAAGAGAAATGAGAGCAGGACATTTTGCCACATTTTCATGATTCAAAGCCTAATGCATGCGATGTTAGCAGTGAAAGGCTTTTGAGATGGGCCCTTCATCTTCTTTGAGGAGGAGCCTGAGGAATGTCACACGATTTGTTCTTATGACTTTCTTCTAATACAGAGAATGCATTTCCTGGGCAACCAGACCGGGAGACACTGGGAAATGTTTGATCTCAAGGTTGTGAGAGAGCCGAAGGAGCCTGAGCTGATGGAGTCCCTGGGACTCAGGGGAGCTGTATACATTGTTTTAACGCCAGGAAGTTGAGGCTCAGAGCTGTGAATCCAGCAGCCCCCATTTCCAGGCACTAATTAAAATGTGCCCTTCCGTGGACAGCCCCAGCTGTAAGTGACCTTTCCCTGCGCAGGCTCTCCACTGTCAGTCTGATCCAAAATCCACTATGACTCGTCCCAACGATGCAACTGTTCCACCAGTCCTGGCCACAGAGTCCACAGCCTAACTTCATGCATGGGTGAAAGTTGAGGCCAGCATCAGGGTGGGCGGGTGGACCTATCTTTTGTCCTAACCTGAGCACCAGTCCCTGCAGGTGGAAAGGTTGTTTATGCTGAGTGAATATGGGCTTCTCAAGGAGTGAGAGCCAGAGATGGAGGGAGGTGGGGGGAAGCAAGGGGAAGAAGAAGGACTTAAGAGGGGTTATGTGCTCGCACCAGCTCCTCGTGATGAAGGCAATCGCTGTGTGCTGCAGACATGTACTAATAAAACTTGTTTAAAATGCATTGGTCTGGCTCTTGGTGTTCATCTTAAACAAGAGCCTTCACTTAGTGAGTTTTGGGCTCCTCAGGTAGAGTTGCTCTCAGGATTTACACAGTCACCCGTGACACCCCCGGTTAATATGGGGACAATGGAGCCCTCCTCACCTGAGCGCACGTGAGCTTTGCTCCCCTTCCTACTCAGATCTGCCCGTGATCTGCTTTCTCCCCCGATCACCTCCACTCAATCTTCACCTTCTCCACAACCCCTTCTTGGGGTTATCAGCCTGACTAATGACTCACAAGCACTGAGATTCCCCAGATGATCTGTAGAAGGACCAGTAAATGCAACCAAAGAGTCACATTAGCACCCTGAACCCAAGAACCAGACCACTTAGAGGCTGATTCATATCAGAAATAATTGTGGGCCATGCGCTGTGCTCCACAGTTCCATTAAGTAGAAAGGAGGTAAGTAGTGAACAAGAACTGGTTTCCACTCTACAAGGGAACTTGGGAGCATGATGTTGTCTAGCCTTTGCCTGGAGCGGGCTACTTAAGGTCTCCACGGTTCTGTTTTATGTCACTCAGGAGGAGGGACACTCATCCCCACCTAGGGCCACATGCCTCCTGCTGGAGAGGGAGCCCCTTGCGGAGGAGAAATGCTTGAACCCCAGAGATTTACAGAACTTGGTTGTCCTAAGGATTTCTCCCACAATTGGTAGAAGACTTTAATCGACTTTAATTCCACTCAGTCCCACAGTTTACTAAGTAAGGGTGCATGCAAAGAAATCAGGGAACTTGGAGCCAGTCACACAGTGACATGAAAGAACCTGTGTTTGAAAACTTTGGAACAGTGTCAGCCAGTCTTGGAAAACTGAGGAAGCTATTTAAGCCCCCTTTGCCTCTTCTGAGAGACTGACTTCCTCCTAGAGTGAGTGAGTTCCATCTAACGGTGGCTGCTCCACATCAGACCTCTCTCTGGAAATGTAGAACATTGTGGTTAGCAGCAAGTCTGATGTCAGACAGGACATCACCCTCTTCCCAGTGGCACAGTCTTCAGGAAGACACTTGAACTGACTAGGAATCATTATCAATACATAATTTGGAGGCAAAATTCCACTACCACTTCATCAGATTTTCTGAAGGTAAAATTTTTTGTTTTTTGGGTTTTTTTCCAGTACTGGGAATTGAGCCCACGACCTCACACTTGCCAGGCAGGAGCTGTGCCACTGAGCTAAATCCCCAGCCCCTTCTGAGGCTAAAATTAATGAATGTCCCTACAGTAGAAATAATACCTGATATGCCTGAGTGTGGAAGTCCTTGCTTTCACCCACAAACCATAGCATTTGGTCTCCTCAGCCGATCTTGGTCTTCTCAGGAAGAACAAAGGGCACAGATGCTTTCCTCTTGCCCCTTCACCTGGAAGAGACTCCAATGTCTGCAGGGGTTCAGTTCCCATTCAGAGGAGGAGATGCCATGGAACACAGCAGCTCACAGTCCAGTGTGGCGGGAGCTGTACTTGGTCATAAACCAGCTCCTCCTCCGGGTGCCTTGCCTGGTCCTGGATCCTCTCAGTTAATGAGTTGCCCGCCCACACGGTGAGAAGTAGGAGATAAGGGAGCTCAAGCTGAAGCTTGGACCTGAGAGACTTGGGCCGGTCCCTGTGGGTTGGAGAAGGGGTGGAGAGGAAGCTCCTGGTGCTCCGCAGAGACTCAGCAGAAAGGCTGCCGAGGAAGCTTGCCTGCCGCCAGCCTCCGCCCCCAGTAAAGGTTGAAATCTTTGACTGGCTTCTTCCCCAGTGTGAGGCCTGTCCTCAGAGCTGGGGGTCTGAAGATGAGCAAAAGACAGTCCCAGGCTTCAGCCCATCAATCCTGGCATCCAACACTGCTGGGCTGAGAACCTCTCAAGGGAGACTTAGCGCAGGCCAGGGCCCTGGAGAGACGTTAGTGGAGGCCAAGGGCTTGTTGTTGAAAGCAGAGACACAGACAGCCGTGCACTGGAGCTCCCAACAGCCTGGTTTATCACAGACAATCTGGGGAGAGTGACACACACACACACACACACACACACACACACACGCAGAGGTGCATTGCTCAGCCTTAAAAGGGAGAGACTGCTGGCGCACGCCCTAACCCAGACGAGCCAGGAATCCATCCTGCTAGTACGATTCTCTTGTCACACACCGAGAGATACCGTCCTCGCCCCTCCTGCGAGGCGCTCACGGCAGTTAAACTCACAGTGGCTCCGTGGCTGCCCGTGGCTGGCGCTGTGGGGAGAGGGAGTTGGGGTCCGGAGGGGGGCAGCGTTTCCTCTCTGGGAGGTGGGGGCGTCAGAGCCGAGAGGGTGCGCATGCTCAGCAAAACCCGCGTCCTCAGGCACCGAAATCCATTGCGAGGGCAAATCTTGTGTTTTGTATGTTTCACTGCCAGCAAATTTAGTCAATTACTTAATATCAAACTCTGTGCAGAGGAGAGGGCAACGGATCTGAGTCTCCAGCAAAGCACTTACGTCTGCTTGGGCCACAAGTACCTGACAACAGCTCCATATCCATTGGATGGAAATTAAAAGCACGAGACACCCTGACAGAGTCATTAGAGCACCCAAAATTAAAACAACACCCACCGTTGGCAATTACGGCAGGGTGACTGTCATTCTGTCGCAGTGCTGATGAGCTTATGAAACTGCTCACACTGTGTGAAATACATTTTGGTTGTTCCTGGGAAGTGTACATTTACTTGTAGACCCAGTGCTGTTCCTCCAATGTGTTTGCCCAAGAGAAACAAAGACTAAAGTATTGTGCCCCAAATGGCCACAACTTTATTAATAACTGCTAAAAAGTACAGACAACTCATGTGTCCATCAACAGGAGAAGAAACATATTTTTGTGAGAAATTATAGATCATACGTGTGAATATAGTCTAAAACCAAAAAGGGGTGAACTATCAATATACCCAGCAGTACAGGGGCGTTTCATGGATGTCATGGGAATTGAAAGGTTACAAAGACTATATGTTTTGGATTCTGCTTATGTGAAATTCTAGAAGTAAAATCTAGTAACATATAGTGAAAAATCAGAGCGTTGACAGCCTGTGGCAGAGGACCTGAGAAGACAGGCCCAGTGAGGAGCTTCCGGGGTTAAGCAAGTGTCCTGCATTCTGATGGGGTCGGGGGTACAAACTTTTCAGAACCTGAAAAATTGAGCATCTAAAATTTTTTGAATTTTGAGACAAGTTAATTTTACAAAAAAAAGAACCAAAAACAGACACCAAGCTTTGGCTAATAGGTTTTCAAGGTGATATGGGTTTAAAATACTTCAGTTGGTGCCTGTGCATTTGAAACCTCAGCAAACAAGTACCTTGAAGACTAAGAGGAATTACAGCTCAAATAGGGAAAGCCAGGCTATACTCACGGTACTGAACAGAAGCGGTAGGAAGTGTCAAACCACGTACATGCTCACATTTGTGTTTGTGCAAGCCTATGAGTGTGCGTGGGTGTATACATACGGGTGTATAAATGCGCATACGTACAAATGCATACATGTCTGAGTGTATACCGACGTGTGCTCACGTATATGTACATGCTCATATCTCCTAGCGCTGTTCTCTGAGCATCAGAGGAACAATGACCATCCAGGAGCCATAAGTGAGGGAAGTGCCCAGTCCCGGGCTTCCAGGAAAGCAAATTCCGACGCAGGATACAGTGTGTACAAGAAGGCGCCATGATACCTCAGAAACAAAGGGTCATGAAGGACTGTATGCCATCAAATATGGTAACCAAGAGGACACCAAATTCCTGGAAACATACGACCTATCAGAAAGAAATGAAGAAACCAAAAACAAATAAGGAAATGGAAGTAGTAATTTAAAAAATGCCAGTGAAGCAAAGCCGAGGACCAGGAGGCACCACTGCAGAATTTCATGATTCATTCAAAAGATGATTAATACCAACCTTCTTTAACAACTATGAAAATGAAGTAGAAGGGGATGGAAACTATGGCCAAATTCTCTGGTGAGCATGTATGCAAAAATCTTCAGTAAAATTCAGGCGTGTATCAAAAGGATCATGCATCACAAACAAGTGGGATTTGTCCCTGGGAGTAAGTTTGGTTTAATATCCTCAAATCAGCATGACACACACACACATTAACAGAGTAATGATAAAAATCATATGATCATCTTGACAGATGCAGAAAGACTATCTGGCAAAGTTCACTATTCTTTCTTGGTTAAAGTATCAGAAAAATAAGTATAGAAGGGAATTTCCTTAATGATTATGTTTACAAAAAGCCTACAGATAACATTATAATCAATGGGAAAAATCCAAACACATTTCCTCTAATATCTGGTACAGTGCAAAGATGTCTGCTCAAGCCACTTCCATTCAGTACAGTACTAGAAGTATGAGCAAGAGAAGTCAGACAATAAAAAGAAATAGAAGGCACGCACACTTGAAAGGAAGAGGTAAAATTGTCTTGCTTGCTTGTGATATGATACTGTGCACAGAAAAGTCTAAAAATTCCACCAATACAGTCAGAACTAACAAACAACTTCCTAATTCCACAAAGAAAGAAAATAAAAAATTGATATTCAAAACCCAGTTTCATTTCTTTACATCAGTGATGATCTACCCTCAAAAAGAATTGAGAAAACAATCCCTCTTACAATAGCATCAAAGAGTAAAGTAAGTAGGAATGAATTACACTGAGGTGAAACATGTGTATGATGAACACTATAAAATGTTGATGAAGGAAATTGAAAAAGACATGGATGAATGGAAAGATAACCTGTGTTTTGATTTAAAAGAAATAACATTGTTAAAATGTCCAGACTACCCAAAGTGATCTACAGATTCAACACAATTTCTGTAAGAACTCTTACATTTTTCACAGAAATAGAAAAAATAATTCTAAAGATCCATAAACAATGAACCCTAAAAAGTCAAGGTTGACAAAGGATCATGAAGAGCCAGAGCAGTCTTAAGAACTAAAATAAAAGACGGAGAGATTACACTTCCTGATTTCAGATTGTATTGCCGAGGTATAGCAACAAGAAAAAGAGGTGTTGGCGCTGGACACAGAGATGCAGACAGTGGAACAGGAAGGCCCTGAGCAAATCTGGGCATCGACAGGGAACTTGTTTGTAACAAGGACCCCAAGAAGACACAGTGGGGAAAGTAGTCTCCTCAATAAATGGCTGTGGGGAAACTAGATGTCCACACACAGAGAATGGGCCTTATCTTACACAATACCGAAGAACTGGTTCAAGAATTAAAGACCTAAACATTACACTTGAAACAAGAGCCCCTATGATAGAACGTAGGGCAAAAGTTTCTTGACACTGGCCTTGGTGACACTTTTATTTTTTGGATATCACTTTATAAACTCAGACACCACAAGCAGAGAATGAGCACTAGAGGCAACTTCAGTCTGAAAAGTTTCCACACAGCAAAGGACACAAGCAACAAAATGACAAGGTGTTTTATGGACTGAACCGTGTAACTGCTAATATGTATAGGTTATGCAAACATTACAAAAAAGTAGATTAAAATGAATAGAAGACTTTAAAGGACAGTGTTCCAAAGAAAACACACCAGCAGGTATCAGAGACAGTTCCCCATGTCACTAACCATCAGGGAAATTGAATTCATAATCACAATGAACTCACAGCTTTTAGGACTGCTACTATCAAGACAAATAGGAAATGACTATTGACTAAGATGTGGAGAAAAGGGAACACTTCACACTGCTGGTGGGAAGAAAAATTACTGCAGCCATAGTGGAAAACAGAACGCACTGTCTTTCCGCAACTAAAAATAGCACTTGGCATCTAATCTACAAGCCCCCTAACAGGCTGTACTGCAGGGAAAGAGATCGGGTGTTGAAGGGACGTCTCCCCAGCTGGGGTGGTCCGCAGAGCCAAGACAGAGGAACAACCTATATCCATCGATGGATAAAGAATGGGTAAAGAAATCATGAAGACTTGCATGATCATAACCGGAATATTATTGGAAGAGAAATCAATCACAAAGAGAAAGAGATCCTGCATTTTGGAAAAATATAATGAATGTGGAGGATGCCATGCTTAGTGAAACATCCCAGGCAGGGAAAGAAAAACACGACATGGGCTCACTTGTGCATGGAATCTAAAACGGTGTGGAATGATGATCGTGAGTCTCCTGGGGGGCAGGCAGAGCGGAGAGGCTGGGCCAAGTGCGCGAGCTGGTGGGCACTGTGTGATACGGGAGTGTTGCGTGAGTGTACAGCATGGGACCCCAGTAATGCACCACACACTTGGAATTTGCTCTGACAGGAGACCGTGAGTGTTCTCACCACACAACTACCTGTGAAAATCAGCCGCACTGTGGCAACGACTGCACACTGTCTGTGTGTACGAGTCCCACACTCACACCCAGATACACACAACATAGCTGGAGGAAGGGTAAGAGAGCTGACAGAACGGGAAGCCCAAACATTTCATGCTAAAATTCACTTGATTTTTATTTAACACATATGGCTTGATTATATTCCCATGACATAATAGAAAAATCTTCTCATTGAATAATGCCGTGTTTACCTCATAATTAATACAATGAATTTATTTAAGCCATCCAATATTGAACATTTAGCTGTTTCTGCTTTTTTTTTGTTACGAGCAATGAAGCAATGCATGTTCCCATACACACATCAGCTGGGTTTATAAGATGAAGACACACTTAGTAAACATGTATCAGCCTTCTAACAATAGAGGTAATGGGATGGTTAAATTCACAGTTCTTGGTCTGAGAGTTAAGCATTTTTTTTCAAGTGGATTGTTAGCCACTTACACTTCACCCCTTAACGGATGTTTTTCCAGACTTTGATTATTTTAGGAAGTTCAGATTCAGTTATTTCTTGGTACAAGGTCAAAGCATTTCCCCCTAGTTTTTGCTTTGCTTTTCCAGGGTCCTCAGGTGCATAAGGCTGGAGTCCTGCAGGGCCAGGGCCAGGCCGGAGGACAGGCTCAGGGCCAG